TTATCAGACATTGTTAGTAGGTTTGAACACGGGCCTTGAAGGGACAAATTAAGTGAATTAAGCCTATCAAATATGTCAGGTTTGTAAGATCTGTGAGCCACTTAGCGTCAGTAAAATAACTCCTAAAGGAAGATCCACAATCAATCCTCAGTTCGTCATGCAATGAAAAAATATTCTGCAGGACTTTGCCTGTGGAGAGCCATCTAACCTCCTTGTGCAAAAGCAACGACTCATATTCGGACCCCATTTCTATGCACAACAAGGCAAACAGTCTTGATTTAGTGGGACAAGTCTTTATGAAACTCACAATCTGTATTGCTGTTTGAAGCACTGCGTTCAAGTCCGCAGGAAGTGTTTTCGCTGCGAGGACCTCTCTGCGAATCATACAGTGGGTGAAACAAACATGCGGAGCTACTTCATGAACCAAAGCAGCGAGTCCTTTATTTTTTCCTAACATGGATCCGGCTCCATCAGTGCCCACACCGACACAATTGTCCCAACAAAGACCAAGTTCATTCAGTTGACCGCTGAGGTTTTCTAAAATATCTTTTTCTGTAAACGTCTTTTCATTGATGAGCAAAATAGTAGATCCTTAAGCAATTTTCTCTCATGACTGTAGCAGACGAATAAAAGTAGTTGAGATGAGTTTGATATGTCTGTCGACTCAACTAAATGTAATAAAAAATAAATCCCATTCTTTATTCTTCTAATCAGCTGATGTTTGAAGTCGCATGCCATATCAGTTATACGCCGGCTTATGGTGTTGTCTGGTAGTGGAATTTGTTCAATGTTACTTACATACTTCTCTCCAAACAGTTCTACAGATGTTCTTTGCAGCTGGAGATATGAGGCTCTCTGGTAATGTATGTGGCTATTTGGCATATGAAGCAGTAACGCCTGTTTCACACCGCAAGCGTCAGCGGCGCGTGAGCAGAGCGTGAGCAGCGCGTGTGTTTTCGGCGTCCATGTTAACAGATTAGAGCTTTCATACCGCACGCAGCAGCAGCGCGTCAGAGCGAGGCGTGAGCGTCGCCGAAGCAGCAGTGCAGCGATAGTTTCGGCGCTGGGTCTATTTTTGACGCGCTGCTCACGCTCAATTAAAGTGACAGTGCATTGAGAATGACCAAAACACATTGAATGACAGTAAAAACTAACAATTTTACCCAATAAATACGTTAATAATGTCAAATGGTTTATATATAGTCATTCAAATGAACTTAAAACGATTAAAAACGGCAACAAACATTTATTTAGGCCCGAACTACAAAACCAAATGTAAAACTATTTTACTATCAGTTTTGCTTAAGTTGCACACTAGTGTTGTAGGAGAGGGGAAATGGAATATTTACGGGATTTGTAGTCCATAGCGAAGTGTATTGTGGGTAGTGTAGTGCGACACGCATGCTGGATTATGTGAGCTCGCTGTGTTCTGTGCAGCTGAGCAGAGCAAGAAAGTTTTAATCAGCTTTGTTTTATGTTCACTCGAATTATTCCTACCCGGAGCTGTTTGCACTGTGAATCTGACAACACGAAAATAAGTAAAAGAATGGCATGCTTTAATTACTTTTGTCCGTCTCATCATCTGCACGAGCATGAATTAACGAGCTGTTATTCTGCCGCTGGACATCACTGAAGCGGAGAAAGTAACACTAGTTTGATCATGTATAAATATCATCATAACTACATTGTATAAATATTATTATAACTAGGTCTACAGCAACCTGATAATCAAAAAACAAATGACATGATATCACAGGCGATTGTTTTCTGACTGTAGACACTTCTCATATAAGTTAGCTTTAGAAGCATATAGTACTATTTGATCTATAAAATTTGTAAAATAAACATTTGCAGGTTAATGAAACAGCATAGGAGGGGCCTTGGTGCAGATGAAAAGTTTAAAAAGTGTATTTGTATATAGAGGGGTAACTAGATAGAATAGACAGAGATAGGTTGATCTCAGCAGCAGCTGCCGAAGAGCTGCACGCTGCACACGCAGCTGGTGTGAAAGGCAAACGCCTGCGTGCTGCGACTGCTCGACATACGCGCTGCTCACGCTCTGCTCACGCGCCGCTGACGCTTGCGGTGTGAAACAGGCGTAATGCAGTTGACCTGCTTCTCAATGGCAAGAAGTGATTCAACTGGGGAAAAACCAAATCCTGTTCGGTAATCTCTATATTTTGTCAAAATAAAGTTTCGAACCTGTAGATACTAAAAAAAAGTCCACATTAGGAATACTAAACTTATCCTTAATCTGTTGGAAAGTGAGAATCGTACCATCCTGAATATATCACCCACCACTTTAATGCCCTTACCACTCCAATCTTCCAGTCCAGCTCTAAGGCCTGGTGGGAAATCTGGATTTCCATGGAGAGGGGTTGATAGTGAGAAACAATTCTCATAACCTTAACGTTTTCTAATTTGTCGCCATATGTCTAACATATTCTTTAAAATACTATTACCTTTGATCAGAGCAGAAGCTTTAGCAGTTGAGATATAAAGCAAATTACGTAGGGAGAATAAGGACACTATATCGTAGTCTTGGTCTTTTTTTAGCCCAAATAAATGAAATTATAGAACTATTCAACTGGGCTATAACTTTTTTAGTAATTTTAATAGGGAGCATTTGAAATAATTAGAGAAAGCGTGGAAGAACATTCATTTTAATGAGATGAATACGACCCAGTAAGGATAATGGTAGGGCACACCACCTATCCAAATTTTGTATTACCGATTGTAAAAGGGGAATGAAGTTTAGACTTTATAAGTCTGACATCTGAGAGGAAACTTTTATGGCCAAGTAATAAAAGCCCCCGGGGGACCACTGAAATGGATGCGATATACTAGGATTTAATCTATGCGAATTATTAAGAGGCATGGCTTCGCTCTTAGAAAAATGTATTTTGTAACCAGAGAAAGATCCATAATCATTAATTAGTGTCATCAAATTAGGTATAGATTTCTTAGGGGACTCTAAGTAAATCAAAACATCATCAGCATAAAACGAAATTTTATGCTGTTGATCCTTTAAAGAGATACCTTGGATATTTGTATCCTGTCTTATTTTTACCGCTAAGGGTTCCATTGCCAGGGCAAAAAGTAAAGGGCTCAATGGACATCCTTGTTTTGTACCTCTTTCAATATTAAAGTTACTAGATCGAAGACTATTAGTAATTACAGCAGAAAGAGGAAAATTGTATAATACACAGATCCAAATAATATAGTCAGCCCCTAACCCAAATTTTTTAAGCACAAAAAAAAGGTATGGCCATTCCAACCGATCGAAAGCCTTTTCTGCATCAAGTGATATAACCAGTGAGTCTGGGCTATACAAAGAACAATGTTTAATAATGTTAATTATTATATCTTATATTATGTGATGAGAATCTACCCTGTATAAATCCTGTCTGATCGTTATTAATAATAAAAGGTAGTATTGACTCCAATCAAGAAGCCAGTACTTTGACAAAAAGCTTAGAATCTATATTTAAAACAGATATGGGCCTATAAGAGGAGCATTCATCAGCTGGTTACCTTTTTTTGTACCAAGGAAATATTAGCTTCCATCATTGAAGGGGGAAGGACCCCTTTTTCAAATGAGTGAAGAATCCTTTCATGTAACGGGCCAGATAAAATACTGACAAACTTTTTTATAAAACTCTGCACTGAGACCATCAGGACCTGGTGCCTTGTTATTAGGGAGAGATTGAATACTATTCTTAAATTCACTGAGAGTTAATGGAGCGTCTAATATCTTTCTCTGGTCATTTGAAATTTGAGGAAGAGATAGGTTTGTGAAAAAAGCTTCCATATTAATTTCCGCACTATAATTAAATTGAGATGTGTACAATTGCTCAAAAAAATTCTAAAACTATTATTAATTTCCTTATTATTATAATTCAAAGAACCATTTAAATCTTTAATACAAAGTATATTTTGAGTAGATGTCCTAACCCGCAAAAGATTAGCCAAATAGCGATTAGGTTTATTAGCAAATTCGTACATTCTTTGCTTAACGAAGAACATTGATTTCTCCGCCTTTTTAGTAAGTATCGCTTCCAATGCAGTTTTTGTTATTTGTATGTCACATTTTAGTTCATCTGAGGGAGACAAATTATATCTGGCCTGTAGATCATGTAGTTTGAGCTCTAAGTTTCTCTGTTCTCTTCTACTTTTTTTTCTAAGCCCAGCTGAATATGATATAATTAAACCTCGAGCATATGCTTTTGCTGTATCCCAAAGTAACCCTGGGGAAACACCCGAAGTTTTGTTTTCTACAAAAAAGTGGTTCATCTGTTCTGTTAAAAAACCTTCAAAATTAGGGTCAAAATTTAGGTATGAATTATACCTCCATTGTTTATTAGGGAGTGTCAAGTTACTGAAATTTATGCCTATACAGAGCGGTGCTTGATCGGATATCAAAATATCCCCAAAATTACAATACTCAACTTTACTAAAAGAAATTTTGGGGGTGAAGATCAAGTCAATTCTACTACTGGTTTTATGAACAGCTGAATAATATGTCAACTCCTTCTCATTAGGGTGTAACACCCTCCAAGTATCAACCAGATCAAGTTCTTTGCAGGTATCCAAAACAGCTTTGGCTCTATTCGACATCTGACTACGATTTTGTGTTGAAGGACATTTATCTACTAATGAGGAGAAAAACACAATTAAAATCACCTGCTATAACTGTGTTGTCACAAAGCCAATGCGCAAATTTTGAAAAAACCTTAGAAATAAAATCTGTGGTCTGAATAGGTGGAAAATATAAATTTAAAACTGAAATTTCTTGCCCATAAAGAGAGCCTCTTAACATAATATATCTTGAGACCAAATCTTGAACTGCTACTCCGCCATTACCGTCACGTGACTTCGAAAAAAGATTCTGTCATCTTGATGAATGACTCAAAGATCCGAGTAAGTAAAATGATACGAACTTCCCATCACTACTGTCCAGTGTGAAACGTCTGGTGCAGTTTTAATTTTTAAAGCTGCAATAAAAGTCTTCTCACACTCAAAGCACAAATACTCTTTTACACCAGTGTGGATCTTGATGTGTTCATTAGGGTTTACTGATTGGTTGATACTTTTCCCACACAGAGTGCATGTGAATGGTTTATCTACAGTGTGGGTCATCATGTGTTTATTAAGGTCTGAGGAGTTGCTGAAACTCATCCCACACCGAAGCTGTGGGTTTCTCTCCGTTGTGGCTTATCATGTGTAGATAAAGGAGTGATGATTGGCTGAAACTCTTCCCACACTGAGTGCATGTGAATAGCTTCTCTCCAGTGTGGTTCCTCATGTGTCGATTAAGGTGTGATGAGCAGTTGAAACTCTTCCCACACTGAGTGCATGTGAATGGTTTCTCTCCAGTGTGGATCCTCATGTGTAGATAAAGGTTTGATGAGCGGCTGAAAGTCTTTCCACACTGAGTGCATGTGAATGATTTCTCTCCAGTGTGGATCATCATGTGTTTATTAAGGTCTGATGATTGGCTGAAACTCTTCCCACACTGAGTGCATGTGAATGGTTTCTCTCCAGTGTGAATCCTCATGTGTTTATTAAGGGATGATGAGCAGCTGAAACTCTTCCCACACTGGGTGCATGTGAATGGTTTCTCTCCAGTGTGGATCCTCATGTGTAGATTAAGGTCTGATGAGCGGCTGAAACTCTTCCAACACTGAGTGCATGTGAATGGTTTCTCTCCGGTGTGGATCATCATGTGTTCATTAAGGTATGATGATTGCCTGAAACTCTTCCCACACTGAGTGCATGAGAATGGTTTCTCTCCAGTGTGAATCATCATGTGTTGATTAAGCAATGATAACCGGATGAAACTCTTCCCACACTGAGTGCATGTGAATGGTTTCTCTCCGGTGTGAATCATCATGTGGTCATTAAGGTGTGATGATTGGCTGAAACTCTTCCCACACTGAGTGCATGTGAATGGTTTCTCTCCAGTGTGGATCATCATGTGAATCTTAAGATTGCCATTTCCTCCAAAACTCTTCCCACACTGAGTACAGGTGAAACGATTCTTGTCTCTCCTTTTCAAAATACCATCAGTCTGTAAATGATTTTTGTCCTCAATTTTAACATGATGTTCCTCCTCTTTACTCCCCTCACTCTCTTCAATTAGGTCTGAAAAAAAAAGTTTTCATTAAGTCTTAAAAACTCTCATCAAAAGCTGAAAAGTGAAAAGACACTGGAAAAATTGGCTACACACATTGTATTTGTGATGCACATTAAATGTTAAATAAATCAGATCATATTGTGTTTGGTCCATTAACGTGTACACATTTAAGCAGATTCTATTCATCTTTATTTATCTAGTGCTTGTACAATGTAAACTGTCAACGCCGCTTAACATAGAACTTATAGTAAATTGAAACGGTGTCAGTCCAGTTTTGATAGTTTCTTACATAATTGGTCATAAAAGTAATTTTGGTCACATTGATAGGTCGCAGATTTGAAAGGTGTAAATAGTGTGACGACCCCAGTATTCTAGTTTGGATGTGGCAGATCCTGATTAGGTGCCATGGTTGCTCCCCAATTGGTTCAAAGTATATAAATGCGAGAGTGAGCTAGCTTCTGTAGGATAGTGTGGCTACTGGCCGTCCTTGCATCAAGACCATCTCATTATTTTGGCAACCTTATGGTTTTGTTTGGCATTATTTATATGTGTAGTTAAAGTTAGTTATTTTCTTTATTTTCCCTTAGACATTTGTTTGTTTCTTGATTAGTTGTTTTATTAGTTGTGTATAATAAATAAGTTGCATATATAATCTTTTTGTTGTCTGAGCTCTTTTATGTTGCAACTCGAATGAGGGGGTCGTAACAATGGCCTATTTTTTGTATACATTCATAATTACAACAAAATGTTTCTCTAAAATTTGTTTAGCAGACAGGGAATACTATGGATAGAATACTATGGATAAGATACTGTGGATAGAATGAAAGAACCGACAGGGGAAAGCAAAGAAGGAGGTGTTTGTTTCTTTATTAACTCATGGTGAGATAAGAGAAACATACATCCAGTTAGATCATTTTGTCCTCCTGATCTGGAATACCTTATGCTTCGGTGCCAACCACACTGGCCACCAAGAGAGGTCACAGCTGTTATAATTACAGATGTTTGCATCCCCCCTCAAGCCAACACAGAGCAGGCGCTTAGGGAACTGAATGGGAGCATAAGCGAGCAAGAAACCACACACCCAGAGGCAGCGTTTATTGTTACAGGGGACTTTAACAATGCCAATCTCAGGAAAATCACTCCAAAATACTATCACCATATCACCACAAACATGCGTGGTGACCGAATTTTGGACCACTGCTATTCTCCGTTCCGGGACGCCAACAAATCCCTCCCCCGCCCACCGCTAAGCAAATCAGATGACTCTTCTGTTCTGCTCTTGCCTGCTTACAGACAGAAACTGAAACGGGAACCACCCACCCTCAAGACGTTTCAAAGCTGGACGGACCAATCGAGTTCCATACTTCAAGAATGTTTTGATCATGTGGACTGGGAGATGTTCCGGGCAGCTTCTGATGATGACATTAAAGTTTACTCAAGACACCGTTACATGCTTCATCAGAAAGTGTATAGAAGACATGGTCCCAACAAAAACTGTTCGTATCTACCCCAACCCAAAACCATGGATTGATGGCAAAGTTCGAACAGCCCTATCAGTGTGAACCTCCGCCTATAAATCCAGAAATGCTGAGGAACAAAAACAAGCAAACTACAACCTCAGGTAAACTATCAAAGCAGCAAAACATCAATACAGAGGTACAAGGTAGAGGGGAGGAGTATGTGGCAGGGACTTAATTACATCATAAACTTTAAAAGTAACAAACCCGCCACTGTAAACATTTCTGCATCTCTCCTGAACGAGCTTAACTCCTTCTACACCTGCTTTAAAGCCCAGGACAGCACCTACACACTGTGCGCTCCCGCGGCCGATACCAAAACCGCCAGCACACTCTGTTTCTGTAGCAGACGTAACGAGATCTTTCCGGAACATCCGGAAAGCTACGGCCCAGATGGCATCCCTGGATGTGTACTTAAAGCATGCGCACACCAGCTAGCGGGGGTTTTCACGGACATCGTTAACCTCTCGCTCTCTCGGTCTGTGGTTCCCACATGCTTTAAGACAGCTACTATTGTGCCCATAACCGACTTAATCTAAAATTACATGCTTAAAAGACTGGCGTCCAGTTGCTCTGACACCCATTTTCAGCAAGTGCTTTGAGAAGATGTTTAAAAAGCACATCTGCTCTGTACTGCCTGCTCACACTGACCCTCTGCAATTTGCTTACAGGAATAATCGCTCCACTGATGTTGCAATTGCTTTCACCTTGCACACTGCTCTGTCTCACCTGGAAAACAAAAACACATATGTGAGAATGCTGTTTGTGGACTACAGCTCAGTATTCAACACTATAGTGCCTGCCAAACTAGTGGTGAAGCTCCAAGCTCTGGGTCTACACAGCTCTATGTGCATCTAGATCCTGGACTTCCTGTCAAACAGACGCCAGGTGGTCAGAATGAACAACATGACCTGATCCACACTGATGATCCACAGAGTTGTGTTCAGTCCACTCCTGTACTCCCTGTACACACGCGACTGTACAGCCAAACACAGCTCCAACGTCATCGTTAAATTTGATGATGACAGTGGTGGGCCTAATCACAGATAATGATGAGATGGCCTACAGAGAGGAGGTTCACACTCTGACGCAGTGGTGTGAGGAAAACCACCTCTCACTCAACATCAGCAAAACCAAGGAGCTGGGAGAAGAGAGAACACACCCCCATCACCATCAACAGGACACTAGTGGAGAGAGTCAGCGCTTTCAAGTTTCTTGGAGTACACATTGCTGAGGATTGGACATGGACTGCTCACACAGACGCAGTGCTAAGGAAGGCACAACAACGCCTCTTCTTCCTCAGGCGTCTCAGGAGGTTTGGAATAAGCCCTCACATCCTCCGCTCGTTCTACACCTGCACTGTGGGGAGCATCCTGCGTGGCTGTATCACCACCTGGTATGTAAATAGCACCAGCAGCAATCGCAAAGGCCTACATAGGATTGTGTGAACTGCTGGACGCGTAGTAGGAGGTGAGCTTCCCTCCCATCACGACATCACCAGGCGGTGCATGAGGAAAGCCAAGTGAATTATAAGCGACTCCAGCCACCCAAGCCATAGACTTTTCTCTCTGCTACCCTTAGGCAAATGGTTCTGCAGCATCCGGTCGCGCACCAGCCGACTAAAGGAAAGCTTCTTCCCTCAGACTATCAGGCTGATGAACACTTAATACCCCTCACTGCACACCATGTATATGTGGCATGCACTGCACTTTAACCAATAATAACCTAAAACAATACTGCCTACAACTATGGGTACACATATTCATTATACATATCGCTGTCAACAATTATAATGCTGCCAAATTATTTTGTACTATCTGTATTTTGCACTGTCGTTATATTTGCACTGTCTGTATTTTGTACTGTCTAGAGCCAGCACCTAAGCGTTTCACTCATCATAGCACACGTGCTGCTGATGATGTGACAATAAAAGTGATTTGATATTCATGGCCATTTTTTCTTCATTGGCCTTTATTATAGCAACATTTATATATATATATATATATATATATATATAAATATATATATTATAGCCATGACAGCATATAATCATGCAAGATACTTCTAAAAGATACACTAAACCTCGAGAAGACTCCTCTTCTGGACCAGGCACACCACACTCTATGCAGCAAACCAGTGGATGACAAGGAACCGCCATGCGCCTTCGTGATTAAATGCCACTACTTTTCCGAAAAAGAGGATATTTTGAAGAAAGCCACTGAAATAAAGACAACAGTACACTGGGCTGTGAATGACAATACAAATGTTAATGTCGCTCTCCGGTTAACTTTTAAATAACCACTATAGCACATGTTGGTTGTTGTTATTTCTAGTTCTCAAGTATATTTTGTCAGTAATGGGGTCGTTTTGTCATAAAACATCAAGAGCTGTTCAAATGGTTTTGTTAATATGTGAGGTCCCACATGGTCAGCTAGCTAAGAGTGCGAGTAGGTGAAAGTGTGTGTAAGTTTACACCAAGGTTTCAATCTTGTGTTGTTTCGTGTTTATAAAAGTGTATGTGCGATCACACCTTTTTTTTCCTTTTTTTTCTTTCCTCTCTCTCCCCCACACATCCCCCTACATACAAAACCTTTCTGGTGCTTCGGATGCTTCTGATAAATGTTTTCAACAGCTCGTAAAATGGGTGGAGTAAAGACAAACTTTACCAGTTGGAATGTGCGGAGGCTAAATCACCCAATAAAACGAAACAATTAAAATCAGTTAAAAACAGTTCAAATCCGATATTGTATATTTGCAGGAGACACATCTGTTGAAAAATGACTATTCTAAACTTAGAGGAGCCTATACACAAATATATTATTCAAACTTCAATAGCAAAAGTAGGGTCGTTGCTGTACTCATACATAAGAATGTACAGTTTGTCATTGAGTCAAATGTGCTGGATAAAAATGGCAGATACAAAATAATCCAAACTTTTAACATGTCTGTGGTCCTGGCCTATGTGTATGCTCCAAATTGGGACAATGTACACATTTTCAGTGATTTATTTTCAATTTTGCCTAGTCTTGACACACACAATTTAATTTTAGGAGGCGAACCTCCTGAATTTTATTCACCTGTGCATCAAACCTATTCCAGGATTGACCATTTTCTCCTGGACAAGCAGTTACGTCCCTTACGCCCCATTCACAAGGGGCATCAGCATCAACGCTTCCCGTTCACTTTGAATGGGTGACGTCAGGCGTTGCCGAACTGCATTGTGGATTCGTCGACGCTGCTTCAGAGGCATTGTTCGCTGCAAAAGTTGGGACTTGATCAACTTTTCAAGCGGTGATGGAACCATCAGCCAACAGATCGCTGTATGCAAATACACCAGCTCAGACTGTGGCCTATTGCTGACTAAATTCATTGGCTAACGCTGCTATGACGATCACGTCAGCCCCAACTTCAGACACGCCCTCTGTCAAGCGTTGACACTGAAGCCCCGTGTGAATGGGGCATTAATGTCAGCAGTAGAGTATGGTAGTATTGTTATTTCGGACCATTGTCCAGTCTCTCTAAAGCTAAGTTTTCAGGCAATGGAATCCTCCAACATACATGGCGGTTTAACTCAAGACTCTAGGCAGACGACAATTTTGTAAAAGTTATTGATGCTTAAATTTATTTTTTCCTTGAGATAAACGAATCCCCAGAGATAAGTTTGAGCATCCTATGGTATACTCTGAAAGCATTTATAAAAGGACAGATTATTTAATATCAAGCTAGCGCAAATAAAAGAATGTCAAAACGGCTTACAGACATTATGAATTAAATAATACAATTGATCAGCTACACTCAACATCGCCTTCCGAAGAGCTCCATTAGAAAAGACTCCTTCTGCAAGCGGAATATGACTCCCTGACAAGTGAAAATGCAGAGGATCTCCACATAAGATCAAGCTAGATTCAGTATGAACATGGTGAACGAGCTGCCAGGTTATTGTGTTACCAACTGTAACAATCCTCAGCAGCTGGTTTTATAGCAGCAGTTAGTAAGGAAGACGGCAGTATTATTACTGATTAACAGGGAATTAATGATCAATTTAAACACTTTTATAAAACCCTTTGCAGCTCTGAGGTAAACGAAATTGGACGTATTGAGAGCTTTTTCAATTATTTAGAATTGCCATACCTTTGTGGTTCAGATCAGTTGGCATTAGAATAAAAAAATAACACCTGAAATTGAAAATGCAATTAAAAAATTGAAAACCGGAAAAGCACCAGGCCCTGATGGCTTCCAGCCGAGTTTTATAAGAAGTTTACTGCCAAGCTAACACCACTGTTGTGCAAGGTATTTGATGAAGCTCTTGTTTTGGAGACAATTTTTTCAGGTACTTTCAAGTCCATAGTTTCGTTAAAAAACACTTCTCTCCTTCACTGAACCAACCAAAAACATGTTGGATAGATGAATTGGTAAATATGGACTCATATCAAAGGGGTATGATGTCCATGTTATATGAAGTGGTCTAAAGAACTGCCTCCCCTTGCCTAAATTGTATAAAACAAAAATGGGAAGACAGACTGGGACTAGAAATATCAGATACAGCCTGGCAATATGCCATAGAACTGGTACACTCATCCCCTGTATGTATTAGACATGGTCTTCTTCAGTTTAAGGTGCTTCTTAGGCTTCACCTATCTAGGATCAAGCTGGCTAAAATGTATCCAGGGTCAGATTCATCTTGCCCCAGATGTGGTTTGGAGCCAGCAGATCTGATGTTCTGGCGATGCCCTAGATTACATAAATTTTGGGCCAATATTTTTAGATCATTTTCATCTATATGTAATAGAGATCATTGCCTTTTCTTCTTTATTGGCCAGACGCCTGACTCTCCTAAGATGGAAAAAACAAACCCACCATCCCACAAACATTGGATATTAGAATTGTTATCACATCTTAAACTCGAGCACCTTAAGTACATCATCCGAGACTCTACAAAAAGGTTTTAGAGGTTTGGCAGCCTTTCCTCTCCTACATTGAACGCTCAGAGGTTATTATATCCTTGGTGAGAGTTTATCACTAGTTTCCTAATTTATTTGATCTATTTTTATTAATTAATTTATTTTTATCTTTCACCCTTTTTCTTTATGGGGTGTGAGTATGTCTGTAACTATGTACCATGTTAATTTGTTGTTCAATATGTGTGTTTAAAAATTAAAGACTTTGGAAAAACCAATTAAAATAGTTGAATAATAAGAATGTAAGCAGTACTAAAACAGTTTTTAGAAGAGTAATAATCCAATTAATCTACTTACAGTACATGTCTCTGTCGAAGGTCTGTGAATTTAAGCTAGTTATTAATTAAAGAAGAACAAGCCTTTCTCGTACGTGACTTTGTTCTTTGTGTGACTGAAATGTAGGTAATGGGTAAGCAGGATAAGAAAAAATTATATATTGTTCTATTATATATTCCTACTATGCTAATCAAGGACTTCTGAGACATTGCAAGCATGGGATAGGTCCTCCTGGCTTGGTAGAGTTGATCACAGCTCCAGTACACATCTCTGCCATTTGCTTGCAGTAACCATGTGCTTTTCACCATACACAATTCTTCTGCTTGTGATCTTCCTTCAAATAGCTTTATCATGTTTGGTGTCATTTGACAGTTTATGACTTAAGCATTGTAGTGCTAAAATCAACAGAGACATTGATTGCTTGTATTTCAATATATTTACTATTCATACTAGTTATGGCCTGAGGAGAGTATGTTAATGTTCTTCTCACCAACTTTATCTCCTCAACTGTGCTCTCTCATGTTCAGCTGGTTTTTGGGGTTGATTTTCACTCATCTTTAACAATGCTTTGCTCAGGGTATAATACGTAAAGGTAAGTGTTGATCTGGGAGAATGGCTTTTACTCTGCATCTCCTGCACACGGCTGGTGTGCAGTTTCACTGTCTTTGTTGCTCAGCAGTGCATATGTTACAGCTAATTTCTTTATACAGTATGTTAGTTTGTTTCATTCTACTGTCTGTATATTCAAACATGTAAATTAATAAACAACTTTACCTGCTTTAAGCTTTGAGATTCTTTCTCTTTATCAATGATAATAACAACTTTAATGGAGTCAGATTAATTACAATGGAGTCAGATAAATAATGGATTCAAACACGCCATCCTTCAACTGCTTTCTGTTTCTGATTATTGGTTCAGAATAGCAGTGTAAGCTCCAAACCTTACAGCTATGTTTCCATCCAAAAATGCCAATTAAATTTATTTGCAAAACTGGAATATCGCATAAAAAATATGCAAATAAATCAGTGTTCTCGGGTGACGAGGCGGCAAAGTAGTGGTGCTGTCGCCTCACAGCAAGAAGGTTGCTGGTTCGAGCCACAGCTGGGTCAGTTGGCATTTCTGTGTGGAGTTTGCATGTTCTCCCCGAGCTTGCGTGGGTTTTCTCTAGGTGCTCCGGTTTCCCCCACAAGATCAAAGACAAGCAGCATTACACTGTTTTAAGGATCTAAAAATGTATTCTTTAAAAAGCAAAAAGATTCCAATGGTGGCGCCTGCTGGTACGTGAAGAATATGGTCAATATTGATGAACTTCACACTCAAAAGTTTGCATATCATCAGCATACTGTAATCCATTTCTTAAGCAGCAGAAGTCATTTTTAGACTAGTTTGTTGGCCAGTTGTAGTCAGTGCAATGCTAAACGTTATTCCACTATAATTTGTTTTGTCTCACATCATCCCACAACATCATATAGTTTAGAAAACTGTACAATGTTTTATAATAATTAATTATTTTAGAGTCCATTTCATTTAGCATATTTAAAATTAGAGTCATTCACGTTTTCTGACATACTTTAAATCAGGGTTTCTACAGGTGTCACCAAGTTAAATTTAAGACTTAAGACATTTTAAGACCATTATGAATAAATTTTTAGACTAAGGAATTTTTCAAATGGCCTAGAAGAAAAGGTTTTTAATTTGTCCTATCAAAAAATATTTTTTTTATATAAAATAATTAATAATACAATAATAGATCAATGATAACAATATTAAAATATTTTAGATATTTCTTAGCAAAAGATCTTAAATATTGTGTAAAAACAAGAGAGTTCGACTTGGATCCACACACTTTTTTCCAAAATAAACTTTCTTTAAAATAAAAAAAAACTAATTAACAATTTTTTAAAAAAGTTTTAAAAACTATAATAAACTAAATCCAATCAAAACAATCTGTCCAGGTGGATATCCTCAGCAGTCTTTACCATTATGATAAATAGAGTAAAAATGATCTTTTAAATAAAAGTTGAAAGTTTTATTGAGATGGATTGATGGTGATTGTATGGGTTTTGACCAAATTGGGTAACAAAACATGAACATAGGAAAATGAAGACTTGTTTAAAAAAGATTTAAGACCTACAACATAACATTTCAGCAAATTTAAGTCTTTTTAGGGCCAAATTTTAGATTTTGGAATTTAAAACATTTTAAGACTCCACGGAAACCCTGTTTAAATACAATAGCCCTGGTAATTAGTTATTATAATAAAGATTTAATTCTCACTCTGATACTATCTGTGAGAACTAGTAACAACTACTAGAAACAAGTTTAAACCCATAAAGAAGTCGATGGAAAAAAAGGGAATTGTGATCAACCTGACATATGCAAATGGAAAGTACCAAGCCAACACTATCACTGTAATAGCAGATATCTTTTATGAGAACACTGTAGGTCAAATGTCGGCAGCTCAGTTAAACTTTTTTTAAATGTATTGTTTTTATAGCGCCAGTGCTCAAGGGCGCTTTACACACAGTAGGAGAACAAGGAAAGCAATAACCTTAAGAAGGTAGAGAAAATGGGCGACTAATAATACATAGAATAATGACTAAAGACATGAGAACAAGTAACAAAAAAAACTCATTCTTGTATTTCAATGAGTGCTTATGTGCATTTAGGAGAACTAGGCAGCATACTCAGGGCTGCAACATGGATTTAATTTAGTATTATTATTAAAATATATCTGAATGAAAACCAACCTGTTTGTTCCTGCAGATCTTCCTGTTTGACTGTGAATGTTTCTTCAATCTTCACATCTTCACTCTCCTCTTTAATAAACGCCATCTTTATAACAGTGTGGAGATCAGTCGCTTCAGCAGGAGTTTTTCTCTGTGTTTGGACACTTTATTCTGTTTAAAATGAACAAAATAATGAACAGAAACAAAATAACTTCTCTTTAACACTTGCTTCAACAGTTTCTTTATATGAGAGTGATTGACAAAAATAAATCAGGTAAGTCTGAGCAAGAAACAATAGCCACAAACAAATGACCTGATAAAAACTAGTCCTCCATTTCTTTTATATATATATATATATATATATATATATATATATATATATATATATATATATATATATATAATAATATATATATATATATATATATATATATATATATATATATATATATATATATATATAATATTGTATACCTATATTGGAATGACATTATGCTAGTAAATAAATAAAACCTTCATTAAAACACATTTCTGTTGTTCAAACAATAGCCCTCGATTACTGTTATTAAAATAGTACTTTGTTGTATAAAGGATTAAAATAATAGTCAACCGCAGGTATATAATATCGAAAGGAAAACCTGAAACTTTAATCAATCTGTTTATATTTGTGTAAAGTTGTGAAACAAACCTTCCTCCGGTTGAACTGCAGCGCGGAAGCGGTGCAGCCTTATGACGTCACACAACACGCCAAAATAAAAGTCTTTTTTGTTCAGCTTTTTTGCCACTTACTGTTGCAGTCAGGACATGATAAATTTCACACTCCTTTACACATCTCACATAACATATCTGCTCTCTCTCTTTCAAATACACAGACATTCAGTATTTGAAGTTGATCAAAACTTTTAATCCAAACATTTTTACACAATTTTGAAAAACTTGTTTAATCTACTAAGTATAAGTGTTTTTTTTTTTCGTTTTTATTGTTGCAAAAAGTTAACATCACAAAACGGAACAACCATATATAAAATAAATTAAAATTGTTACAACTGCAGCAAGGAGCAGTACAAAAGATCTACATCAAAGGACAAACAAAACATTATGGGTCTGCACTTTTTCCACTTACAACAATGAATGTGATATACCCATTAGTAAAATTAAGTTCACAACATCAGAGAAAGAACAATGTAAATCAGCTTTGTAAAATAAAATATCTTCTAGAACAATAGGGGGGACTTAAATCCTCTTTAATGAAAGCCAAGGATGGATGTCAAACCAGAATTTAAAAGTAAATTCACAAGAAAAAAAAAAGTGATCGAGTGTTTCTGGAGCAGATCTACACTTGTCAACATCAAAGTTAAATCTTTTTTGAATAAACTCGTTCACATGGTATATCCTGAATAAAATTCTGTAATGAGTTTACTTAACCTTAGGTGCTACAGGATATTTAAGAGAAAAGGTAAAAGCTTTGTCCTCTACTAAGGGTTTAACAACTCCTAGATGATGACACTTAAAATCACCCATTATAAGGCGTGTTGTAAATAAGCTTGTTGTTACATTTACTATTTGTACATTTACACTTTTAAACAATGATTTTCTGTTAATAATAACAGCCCTTTAATTTCAAAGAGTGGATTTATGAGGGGAAAATTATGGGTAAATATAATTTTCCAAAAAAGTAGTTCTTGCTAATGAAAATTAGACAGCTTCAAAGGAAGTTTTGAACAATCATAATCATATCTTAATACAAATTCAAGGCCACCATTTTTTTTAAACAAATTATTTGGGATATGATACCATATTGAATAAGGCTTAAACACTGTTTCAACCATTTAACTCTAAAAGTGCAATGAAGACATTCAAAATTAATAGCTTTCAAACCTCCATATTCTTACTCTTTGATCATATGATTCTTACGTAAATAATGTGATTTATTTTTACAAATAAATGTAAAAAATGTTAAATTAATAGATTTAACTATTTTGGGAGGAGTATATAAAGGATAAGTTAAGTATATAATTTTAGATAATCCCAGTCAAAATAATTTTACCCTATATGGAAAGGTCTCTTGCTAGCCAATGATTTAGGGATTTTTCCATCCCTTCCATTTTAGTATTAAAATTTGCACATTCTCTATTAACAGAATTTTTGGTGATGGTAACTCCCAAGTATTTAACTTCTTCTTTTACTAGAATACCTTCTAACTCTCTTAAAGTACAATTCTGAATAGTTAATATTTCACATTTTCTTAGGTTTAAGGTCAATTCAGAAGCTTTAGGAAACAGAAACTTTGACAAGAGCTAAAAGGAGCACCTCCCTATTCTTAAGAATTAATAGAGTGTCATCAGCAAACTGACTTAAAGTAAAAGTCCTACCAAGTATATTAATACCTAAAGTGTACTCTGATTTTTTTTAATATAATGACATAAGTTCAACAGCTATTTTAAAAAGTAAAGGTGAGATGGGACATCCTTGATGGATTAATCTTTTGATGTAAACTCTAGGAGATGATCCTGAATTCAGGGATTTACTACTGAATATATCAGTATAGAACATGGAAATTACCCTACAAAAGCTCGGACTAAACCCAAAAGTTTCTAAAGACAAAAAAGGATGCTCAAGGGTATCAAATGCCTTGAAAAAGTCTAGAAATAGAAATAAACTTGTCTGAGGAATTAAATAATCAAGCATATCAAGTATCATTCTGAATAATTCTCCCTTTAATACATTAAAAATAAAAGATGATACAATAAAAAATAAATTTAATACAATAAAAGCTGATTGTGTTTCATTAATTATCTCGCCTATACCTTTTTTTGAGTCTATTGGCAAATACATGAGAGATCAATTTAAAATCATTGGACAAAAGAGTTATGGGTCTCCAATTATTTAAAAATAATTTGTCTTTGCTTGGCTCTGGAACTAAAATTATTAAAATCTGCTTAATAGAAGTCGATAGTTCTGCTTTGTCTTTACTTTTCTTAAGTGCTTCAAACACTAAAAATCTCATCTCTGGCCAAATATGTTTATAAAACTCAACTGTAATTCCGTATATGCCTGGATTTTCCATTGGATATTTTAGAAATAGCAACATCAAGTTCAGAGATAACAATGTCAGATTCCATCATTTCACGGAAGCTGTCATCTATAATAGGAACTTTATCTTTTAAAAAGGAAAAGAAAAAGTCACAATCACTCTCAATAAATTTTGATTCATATATTAACATGAATAGATGTGATCATCAATCAAAGTTTTCTCTTCACTTACATCGTTATCTATGCTACGTTTATTAATAGTTTTTGAAGCTTGCCTATGCTTTACTAAATTTAAAAAAATATATGAAGAATTTTTCTCCCCCTCCTCTATCCATTTCACTCTAGATCGTAAAGCTCCTTTAGCTTTCTCTGTATAGTAGTCATCCAACTCTGATGGCAAAATATGAAGTTCATTTTGTTCTATATCTCCAAGAAAATCTTTATCACCACAATCATTTAATCTAGATAAAACTGTTAACTGTCTTTTTTTTTCTAACAGAGGAAAACAATAGCTCATTACAGCAGAGCCATTTTTAACTTGATTTATTTTTAATTTGAGAAAAGCATGTGGCAAAAGAAAAAGAAAACCAAGCAGCAAATAGGGAGAAAAGCATTTGCCAAATGCTTATTTAAAAAGCTGTTTAAAATGTGTTTTGTGATTTATTAATACATTTTTTTACTGTTTGATTAATCAGCCTTTAAAACATGAATTAAATAAAAATACAGTAATAAAAGTGTCTATTTATTTATACATTTAAAATGTTTTTGTAATGCATTGTTTTATTGCCTAATTAAATGACTTTTAACCATCTGGGGTCTGAGGGTGTTTTGGGGCTCTGGAGAAGTTTTGACATGCACTGACATTTGTGTTGTTTTCAGTATCTTAAAAACATTTTAATGGCTAATGTGTGATAACACTGTAAACAGCACAAGTTGGTTTACAATAATACCTAAGCAGCATGTTTGTATGTGTTTGTGTTTTTGAGAAAGAAACGTTTATGCGTGTTTAGTGAAAAACTAAAATTTTGAAATCCCTGAAACAAGGCCGTGAAACACACAGAGAACATTTGTGCACAAGACTTTTGAGAACTGGATCTGGTAGTCTAGTGTTTTTGCTTCAAAATGATGTGAGAATCATCTTTATGGAAGTTTTTTCCTATCAAAATTAAAATGAAAATTCAAATGCTTAAAAGATCAAATGATAAATCAAATGCTCAAACTATAAATCAAATGCTCAAACCGACATTGCAAATGATAAATCAAATCCTCAAACTGACTCTGCAAATGATAAATCAAATGCTCAAACGGACTTTGCAAATGGTGAATCAAATCCTCAAACCGACTCCTCAAATGATAAATCAAATCCTCAAACTGACATCGCAAATGGTGAATCAAATGCTCAAACAACTCTGCAAATGGTGAATCAAATCCTTAAACTGACATCGCAAATGGTGAATCAAATGCTCAAACAGACATCGCAAATGATAAATCAAATGCAAATGAGGTGTCAATCAACCAGCATAGGCGGAGCTTTAAGGCGGAAGAGTTTGTTGTTGACAACAACCGGTAGCGCTACGAATTTTTCAAGGCGTTCAGATTTGCGTGCACTATTCCACGTCGTATCCGTATAAACTCGTGAAAGAGAAAGCGAGAAATCTCCTACTGCTTCTGTCCACATTCTGAAGTGTTTATCAGATGGGTCCATCTATTATAGGAGGCCACGAAAAACCATACGGCAAGATGATAAAAAAAAGTTACATAACTGACGTTACAAGCGCAACTTTAAATAAATGGCAGGTTTATTAAATCTTAATTTAAAATAATATTTTATTACATAAGATATCCTTGTCAAATTTCACCTAATTTGTTACCTTTATTGTGTAACATTTTTTATCCACATGTAGAACATGCTTAAAGTTAGTTTTCCAGTCTTGTTTGATTATATAATCATATATTCTTATATCAAAAGAAAATCTATTACATTTGTTCTCTTTTTGCCGTTTATGTTAATTGTTAAGATACAGCAATGTTTCCCTAAGCCTGAATGAAATTTTTATTTCTGCATAATAATGA